TGCTAGATTAGATAATCGTTATATTTGTTTTGTTTTTTTATATGTTTATACTTGATTTGTAACCTGTAGTCGGTATTAATTTTGTCAAATTTTCTTAATTAAACAGCGGCCCTTTTATAATTGCCTTTCGATTTTAGTTCCCTCCACCCCATCTCTCTCCCCCACCCTTTTTTTCTTTTCTTTTCCCTCTCTCATCTTCTGATCTTTAAGATTAGATCGTCTATTGTGTGTGTATGTCACCACAAAATGTATCCTTTCCGGTTACATCTTTAATGTATTAGACATTCGAGAATATTCATATTGGATCGTATTTACGATTCCAATGGAATAAATTATGACCATGGAATATTAGTGTTTAAGCCTTTTTATTATATTCTTACTCTGTCCTGGACATTGAGTTCTACCTGGATTCTATCCTCTTGGAATTATTTTTATACAAATATATATGTATGTGTATGCATGTATATATATTTATACATTTTAGATATATGATTGCATATGTATGTGTATATTTAACAGTATATATATATATATATATATATATATATATATATATATATATATATATATATATATATACATTACAACCAAAAACGTTTGCAGTTTCTCTCTTTTTTTTAATATACACACTTTTCTCTCGTTGGAACTACTATAACCTCTTCCTTATATATATATATATATATATATATATATATATATGTGTGTGTGTGTGTGTGTGTGTGTGTGTGTGTGTGTGTGTGTGTGTGTGTATCTTGATAACCGTGCTCAGTCAATATTTTTAAAGCTTATTTTATTTTTTAATTATTATTATTAACTATTTTTACTGCTGCAAAAGCCTCACTATAAATAAGATCTCACAAAATGCATCCCATTTTTTAGACTTGCTAACTATTATGTAATTTTCTCATTTATTTTATTTCGGTATTATGATTTATAAATGTTATTTTGCTACTGCCATTTTATATGTGTTTACATATACAGTAATAAAATATTACAATCTGTAAACTTGATTGTTAACTAGGAAATTTATCAACAGTCATAAATATATTGTCTTGAATTGCGACAAGTGAATTGAACTATTTAATTTTCTCAAAATAACCTATCATTTCTTTATAATACTGAATTAATTTTCAGTTTTTTATAACCTCTGTGTAGTGGGTGATCCAGAGGGTTCTAGTTAATATATTTTCTTTTTGTGCTTTCAAGATATAGACAATCCACAACTTTCTGTCTTTTGTTACTGGAAGTATTTTTTTTTATTCTTCATCATCCCTCTTTGTTCCTGTTCCGCTATAAATTGACAAAATTTGTTCAGTAAGTTATTCGCTGTTTTCCTCTGCATCTCTTATTATCAATATGCCTTGTCAATGTTAAATTCTCCATGCCATCTTCTCTTATTATGTGTCCCAGAAATTTCAACTATCGCTTTTAAGTATCAGTTCCCTTGAGGTTCCTGTTTTTCTTAGGACTTCCTTGTTGGTCAAATGCTCTGCCCATGGTATTCTAAGGTTTCCTCAGTAAAATCACATTTCTCACTTCAAATCCAGAATTCTCATATATAGGAGATTCGACATCACATAGCAGTCCAGCACTCTTTACTTTGTTTCTAAGGATATTTTCCTATCTTAATACTTTGCTTAGTTTCGGGGTCCCTCGGTTTTCTGGTAATAGCTAATATTACCATAGAAAAGGAATAGGGTACATTTACCACTATCTCGGTTTCAAAGTTATGTATTTATTTATTGTAGTTGTTGGTGATTTACGATTTTAACTGTATATACAATCTAAAACCCACTTGTCTCTGGTCGGATACAGTTTCGTTTGATTTTATTTGTTTATCTTCTAAATTTGAATGTAAATGCAGCTATAAATAGACAGAAATGTCATGAGCATTCATTATTTTCTCTTGGTATGAATAAACATCAAACCACTTATTTATGAATCATATATTGACACGCATGTTAATTCGTTTCCTTATATATATATATATATATATATATATATATATATATATAGAGAGAGAGAGAGAGAGAGAGAGAGAGAGAGAGAGAGAGAGAGAGCGAACATTAAAAAATCCAGACATATATCTGATTCTTTAAAATTCTTTAAATAATAATCAGACAATATATCCAAGAACCTCTCAAACTCGTTTCCAAATTAGATATAAATCAAGTCACTGAGCCACTAATACGTTTTTTATTACAGACAATTTATTTTGAGAAAACCAGAAATCTTCAATGGATAGTTTCGGCAACAAGTAACTGCGCTGGCTTTATTTCAAAGACCTCCTACAAATTGTAATATGACTAGTTGTTTGTGATTATGTACTTGGTGACTGATATTATGAATTCGATTCGTTAGGTTTGGCATCAACACCGGAAATTACAGGAGAACCGGAAGTATACCACAATCTTGTATTACCATATTTCTTCGTCTTTGTTAGAGAAAATGCCATATATATAATCACAGCCTTTTATAGAATATTTGTTTTAATTTATGTAATGGAATATTTGAACCTTTACACGGCGATGTTTGAAGAGATAATCACATAAGTATTATACAATTATACTAATATACAGACTGATAGGGCCAAAAAGGTTAGGTTGTGCCAATCTTCCAAAGAGGAGCAATAAGTTGCTTAAAAATCGGCATTCAATCTCAGAGTACGATCATTAATTAAGATGGTGGAAAGAATCATGCAGCTTTCTCAGTTATCAAGTAAATCATTAAATAGATAGATATGATTGATAAACAGAGAGAGATAGAGAAATATAATTTTATGAAAGGTTACTTATTTTATCTTTCCTTTTCGTTTCTTTCAGTTGTACATATTTCTTTCTTTCCATTCCTACTGTATTCTTCCCCTTTCCGTTTTCACTTTTCGTTGTATCTTTTTTCTCCTTTTGTTTTTTCCTCTTTGCTGATGATTTTCCTTTTCTCAGACGTGTTTCCTCTTTCAATCAGGAAATCTTCGCTTGCTTCTGTCTACTTACATTGCTTGTCTTTCTTTCTACCTTTCTGTTTGCATCCTTATAATTTAGAGGTTGTTCTTCCATTCTTATTTATAAATGTGTATTGCTTTGGCGTCATACATTTGATTTAACGTAGGTTGGTCAGAGAACATTGGACTCTACCGAAGCTCTCGACGCATGAGGGCGCCCGTCGGCTCAGAGTTCTTAGAACTATGAACACATCTGGATTTGGTTAAAGTGTTTGAAGCCTTGTGCAGAAACAACCACGCTTTTCGGTAGAACAGAATCAGAGAAATACTGCAAACAGTAGGCACCAATGTATTAGAGAAGGATTGTTACACAAACACAAACACACACACACACACACACACACACACACACACACACACACACACACACTCTCACTCTCTCTCTCTCTCTCTCTCTCACACACACACACACACACACACACTCTCTCTCTCTCTCTCTCTCTCTCTCTCTCTCTCTCTCACACACACACACACATAAAATTTACACCTGCTGAGAAGGAGAGATACATTGCTTCATTATCAGGCAATGGCTTTACATGGGAATGGGTAAACATTAAAAAAATTCTGATTCCATAGTCCGTCAGTCTCGGTTCTTGATGTTGATACTGACTGATTGACAGTTCACTCAGCAAGAAAATGTCGAGCAAAGCATTCTGAAGCAATAAACACCGGAAGAGAGAATGCACGCAAATGCAAAATCCTACAACGAAGCCGTCATCAGGGGCAAACAAAGTCTGTGCGTTTATCCGGAAAATGTAATATGGTCACTTCTTTTTCTATGGCTTCCTTGATAAATCATTATAATATGTTTTCTCGCAGTAATGCTTGTTTGTAATCTGATTGATATCAAATTATGTATTTCAATCCCGTAACTTATTATCCCTCATCGTTCGCAACTATTATATTTCTCTTTACCTCTCAATATATATTCAGATTTATAAGGGCACGTGCGTATATATATATATATATATATATATATATATATATATATATATATATATGTGTGTGTGTGTGTGTGTGTGTGTGTGTGTGTGTGTGTGTGTGTGTGTGAGCAGAGAGAGACGGGGAATTCTGAAAAGGTGTCGTCGGAATCCTCTTAAAAATGGCCAAACATCAGGATATTACTTGGGCGTATTTTTGTGACACATATTCACACACTTTATATATTTCTTAACTAACAAATACATAAGAATTGTAAGAAAATATTAAGTCTTCAAATAAAATTTTTTATTTAAGCTGACTTTAGCAAATTAATTCAATTCACTGCCCATAATTTGGAGAGACTTGAATATTAAGATTTTTGTAGGGAATTTAACATAAAAGCTGATAAAACCGCACCATTTTGTCTTTTTTTCTAATATACAAGCCTTGAGATATACAATCTCCCTCTCACGCAAACACTTAGACGCACGCAAACAAAAATATTATTTGTTTTTTTGTCAAAGTGAATTTTTTTCTAATCCATTCTGCATTCTTTTTTTCACATTTATTATTTTTCTAAAAAAAAATACGAACAATTCTTCTGTATATTCACGCCTCGGTGTATTTTACGTTCTTCATTTGCAATGTAAGTCAATGAGAAAAGAATTTCATTTTCGACTTCTTTTCAATCTATATTTTGCTTTGAATATTACCGATTTTATATTTTCACCTTTTCACATATTAGAGAATTTATATTTGATTATATTGCCTTTCTATCTTTGTGCTTTGTAACTCCTTTTAAATTTATTTTTCAGATATGTTTTTGCTGCTATAATGCCTTTCTGTTTCTGTGCATGTTTCTTGCTACCATCTACCATCATTTCCTTTATCGTTTATCACTTTAATTAGCACTCCCCTAAACACTATCTCTTTAATTAGCACTCCCTAAACACTATCTCTTTAATTGGTGCTCCCTTAAACACTATCTCTTTAATTAGTACTCCCTTAAACCCTATCTCTTCTAGTGATGCACTATATAAATATTCTTCCTCGTTCTTTCTCTATCCACTCAAATGTGATGCTCTTACACGACTTCTTGAAGCTTTACCTCTACTTCTTAATCACTAACCGCTATCATCTATTTTTCTTTCTCTTTTCATCTTCCTTCATATTGCTTTCTTTTTCTCACTTTATTCTATTTCTATTTTATCTTCTTTCTCTTTCAATTTACTCCATAACCATTTCTTTTTTCTTTTTCTTGTCTTTTCCTTAAATCTTTTCTATTCATTTTCTCTCATTTATCTATCTCCATTTCTATAAAATATTTTCATTTTACTCTTCCTTCTCTTTCATTTCTAGACAATTTTCTTTCTTTCGTCTCTTCACCATTCTCTTTTTTTCCTTCTCCAATGTTTTTCTTTCTCTCACAAAAATATTTCCCTCATACTTCCTACTTCCTCTCACAAGTGTTAGTTTCTTTTCATATTTTTGCCGATCAAATAACCTCTTTTCTTTGAATCACTTCATCACTGCTTTCGTTTTCCACGCCGCTCTTGACTGGCTGTGTACTGATCTGACCACAAAAATCTTAAGCATTTGGCAAAATGCCCACATCTGTCCGCGCCCTACGGACAAACCCTTGACCAAGCATTTTCCTACTGGACTGGACCTGCCGGGAGCTGTCCTACATTTGACAGCCTCCCCAATCGGAGGTCTTCATCATTTTCACCCGGCCTATCGCGTCAACAAATATGTTCTTCCGTCTTCGTGCATCTCTGTCCCCTACTGCTTAGCATGTCTTCATGGAGCCGACAAGAACGCGAATAAGCCAACATTTCAGCATTCACAATTTGTGGAGGAGGCCTTGCCCGGACAATGTCAGTAGCTATTTATTGACGTTCAGTTGGCTAACATTTGATGAATCACTTTTTGCAATCTTTTCAAAATTGATCCCCGTTTTTGTTATAGATTCTTAACTGCTTCTGCGGCTTTTCATATTGCACTTCTTACACCTACTCCTGCATCAATATCCCTATTATTACAGCTTATTCGTCTTAGTTACAAGAGACTTTTTTTTTCTACTTCTTTTTCTCGATCATCTCTTTCATCCATCCCTTTTATTTGTGTTCATTCTTTTCCCTTTCTTCTTTCTCTCTTTTCTTTTCTGTTATTTCTCTTTTTGCTTTCCCTCATCACTTTTACCTCTTGGGCTATTTTTTCTTTTTTCTTCAACTTTTCACCTTTCTTTCGAATTTTCAAAGTAATTATTTTGTGAATCTTGAATTCTAATTATTTTAGTACAATGTAATACATAAGATATTCAATTTTCTTTTAATATTTACCAACCAGAGATATCTGGTAGTTATCCCCAAAGATTGGATGATATCAAGTCTCCTTAAATTTCCAGCACTTTCTTCAGTATTTTTACAGACTTTGAGTCATGTCGGCTAAATACTTCCTTATATCTCTTTTTTTTTCAATCTTTCTCTAATGGTGTTTACTTCAATGATTATCACCATGACTTGCACTACCAGTAAGTTCAGTTGTCCAGCAAATAATTTGACTCTCTCGAACTTGCTTAACATATCATTTTTTGCTGACTTACACATTTCATCTCCTGAGTTGAAAATTATAGTCTGAATTTTCATATCGTACACTTTCTTGCCACTATTTCTTTTTATATTTTTATTGTTTGATGCTGTAATTGATCAAGTCTTTCACTTAGATCATAAGTTAAATTCAGGTTTTTCTTAAGAAGTACAGTTTTTTTCAAGTCAGTAGTACCCAAAACAAAGACCTATTTCCAAGAATGTTCTTAATGTGTATATCAGTACACTTCTTAACAATTCGCAGAGTTCTTACTACTATTTCTTTGTGTTTAAATGCTCATTTCTTATAATTTCTATTTACAGATCCTTATATCTGGTGAGATTTGAAATTCGTTTGCCAAAATGATTTTTCTTTCTTTCTTTTATCAAACGCTTGTATCAACAAGACGATGGCGTCAATAAGATAGAATTGGTGTTCTTTTAAAGTCTTTTTTAGTTATATCTAGTCTGTTAGCTTGTACTGTGTGGTTGGTATGCACAGTGAAGTTCCAGAGCAAAGTAACGCTATCACATTCTGGAGACGGTAGTATCTTTGCACATAGCAGGTTTCTATATGGAGTAGGTTATAATGTTAGCACCTCTTCCAATGGAGGTATTTCCCTGCCCTGTGTCTATTCATAAATTCATTTGGTGCTAGAGTAGAGCATCTAGATTCTAAATGATCAATAGTCTCCTTAGCGTGTATACAGAAACAAATTCTTGGATCTACCCCGTTCCTTAAACTATGTGCATAGTAAAGATCTTGTTAGCAGGTTTTCATCCTGAGCCGCTCGGACAAACCTTCCTGATTGTGATTTCAACACAAATTTCAGTAACAACTGATGTGTCTGATTTTTGTCAACATCAGCGTTTTGTGCAAGTGGGGTTTGCAATGTAAGGTTTTTCTAACATTTCAGCTTATTTCTGTTCTTTGATGTTTTGCTATTTTATGTATTTTCTCTTGATCCTTTACTTGCAAATCTTATTTAATATTTATTTGGTACATTCTTTAATTATTAACTACAGCGTATTAGTTGATTCATGTCGGTAAACAAGATTTAACATACAGTCATTAATTAATTTCAATTAAACTTTAATAAAAGAATAATAAGCAAGTGAAGATGCATGATAAGAATACATTTGGAATAACAAAATTTGAATTTCTCTCTCTCTCTCTTTCTCTCTCTCTTTCTCTCTCTCTCTTTCTCTCTCTCTCTCTTTCTCTTTATATGTATATACACACACACACACATATTAAATAAACAGGAATACCTTTATAAATTTTATTTTAGATTCATCAGAATTTGTCGGGGAGGATATTTATAAAGGTTTCTTTTATCTTTTTCCCATATTTAATCATTTTTTCGGATTTAATTCTAATTTTCAATTCACTTATATTATGGACCTTTTCCAGATTTACGTACTGTAAGACTTTTCTCGAGACATTAACTATGAAAGTAAGTTAAACAGTATATTCAGGCAAGATATACTCCTTCAGCTACTGCAAAGCAGACTGCTGCCCACATTACCAAAAGCTTTTTCAGTCACCAAAGTAATTGAATCATCACAAGCTTCTCCAGACATTAATCCAATTGAAAACTTGTGGGCTTTTATTAAAAGCGGTGTATATGAGAATATGAAAAAATGAAAGTGTGACAAACTTTAATGCTAACGTTGAAACAGTTTAAAAGTTAATAAAATCGATCAGTGAAAGACTATAGTTATGGAATTTTAATGTGTTTATGTTAACATGTGAAATACTAACTTATTTGGATATTTGGGATTTGTCTATAAAAACAATGTTCTATAGTTTATATTGTTGATATTTATTTATAATAAAGATTTATGTCGTATACTTAATTTGCATGATAAAAGCTTACATAACCAAAACAAATTATCAAAATTTTAATGAGCTTAGCTATTATAAGCTGAAATTTACGCGTTGTCGTCTTCATATAAATATATTCTGAAAAAGTTCACAAAATCTGTTGTGATTATTGAAATTTCAACTTGAAATGCGACCTTCATGTGAGCAATTCCAACCGTTATAGCAAATTATTACATACCACAGTCGACGAAGATCGATTGTTAAGAGGCAATATACACAGTCCATAGATTTTCTGTATTAGTTATTTCTAGAAGGGGTCTGACTCGAGGGATTCTTTCAACAGTATTGTTGATCTGGATAGATTGATCATGGAATCTCTGTTAGGGATTATCGTCATGATTTCTTTGTTTTGTATCTTATACTCTGCTTTTCATGGTTACTGAAGGAGTTTGTTGTGTGAGCCGTAAAAGTTAAGAGGCGCAGTTTATGAGGATATATTTGAGAAAGATAACGCTTAACCCTCAACATAAACATAACATAAGCATCCTCCTGTAGGTCGGTTTCATAAAGTCGCTCATTGTAGGAAGCAGTTGTGGAACTTACTTCTCACTAATAAAATACTAAGGGAATAGGGGATGGTTCTTCTCCGTGTACGCAACGTGACTTAACTGTGAGAGAGTTGGTGCTACTAAGGAATGTAGTTCGTTTGAACATTTTTTGTGGAAGCAACGATGACAAGATTCTTGCAACATTTCGTCTATCGAAAAAAGGGGTTGTAGAGTGGAAAATAATTCACCACCCACAAGATCTTGTAGATGCTTCTGGACTATCAAGACAACATCGTGAAGGCTGGACAGCCCAGTCTTGATATGACAGCAGTAGTCCTATTCTGCCATGATCTGGCTGTCGTAAAGGTAGAGTATAGCATGAGGAGTTAGATACTTACTGGGGTGATGGATCTAAGCAAGAACTAAACAGCAAAAAAAAATGATCATGGCTTTAAGTGTTTCTTTTATTATTTTTTTTATTTTGCAATTTATTCTGTATAATATCTATGTGTTGTGCACAATTATCTACGTAATATTGGTCACAATATGAGGACCTCGTGTGATATGTTGATTAATATAAATGGTTATCGTACGGTTGGTTTAAAAATGGCATGTTAGTCGATATATTGTTGCGGGACTGATAAGGATGTCGCCCCCGCAAGCTCTATGAAGAAACGTGTGAACAGCCAAGACAATGAGGGGACAAAGGCAACGGTTTATGAAACAATAACGTCGATTTTATTAATGCCAATTGTACAAGAGTGTACTCTGAAGAAATGCGTTTAAATCGGTGTCGGGTCCGGTATGACTGGTTTTTGGTTAGGGGTAGCTGCTTTCGGTCGTATCGGTGAGACGAATATATAGAGTTGATCGGCGAACGTAGCTGGTCGACAGCCGGATGGGAGAATAGACTGGAACAGCAGCAGGTTGATAGATGTCCCTAAACAGGGCCAAGGCAGAACAGCGATACGACTTTACTGGGCGGATCGACCGCGGAAACGGGAATCGTGCCAAAGTGTACCACTTGGCGAAGACGAAGTCCCTAAACAGGGCCTAGGCAGAACAGTGATAGACTTCACAGGGCGGATCGACCGCGGAAACGGGATCGCGCCAAAGTGTACCACTTGGCGAAGCTGGTCTGAGAGGTGATACGTCTTCCAGGGCGGATCGACCGCGGAGATGGGATCGCGCCGAAGAGTAACACTCTCGACAAAGCACCGGAAACTCAACAAGGGCAGCGTACTACACTTTGATCCAGGCCCCCGGGCCGAGCAGCTTGGATTTGGACGGAAAAAAAGGGGCTAATAATATTTGGAGCGATTTATTCAAGTACTCCCTGGCTAGAGGGAGTAGAAAACCGTAGATATTAAATTAATATCAATGGTTGTCCGATGTTTGAAAGAGCGCTGCATAATCCGATGCTCACAAGGTACGGTTTGGCATCAACGATATTGGACTAGCCATCCGGTTTCTCGCATGTTGCTTGACTTAAATCTGCGAGATCAGGGGTTGTGAAGGTCACGGTCGTCTTTCTAAGGAGCGGTTAATGGCGGCCGCGACAACATTATAGTTAAAGAAAGGTTTACAAATAGATGCCTTGTTGTTGTATTCAAATAGTAATAAAGTAAAACGCAAATTTCAAACACTTTCTGCACTATATAATACAGAACTATTTTTGTTATGAAAAACAAAACAATCCTCGAATAAAAGAACAGTAATGAAGAACAGTTAATTAATGAAATTAACTTTTTTCAAATCAACATGCAAATTAGTTAAACCTTAAGAGTTATATTGCCTTACTCGGGCCCCTGGTCTAAGCTAGTCATAGCTGATCTTAGTTGGTCCAAGCTGATCAGAGCTGGTCCAAGCTAGTCATAGCTGTAATATATAATACAGATAGTGCGATATCAGTGTGTAAACCCCTCCCTCGAGGGGTATACGCATTCGGATCGTGACCACCGATATAGAAGGCCTGTTTCATTGGGTTAAGGAGAAATGTGACGTCATCATATTGAGTCCGACTTTCAAGAAGGTGTCGTTTGTTTTGTGTATCAGATTTTTTACGGCGGCATTTTTAAATTGTTTATTTATATTTTCTTTTAAATATTGAATTAATTTAAAACAAAAACAATGCCTTCTAGATGCGTTGTACCAAATTGCAAAGGGAATTGTAAAAACGGCCCTAAAGTACACGTATTTTCTTTCCCTAAAGATAAATAATTATTTGATGTTTGGATTCGTACAATCAGAAGAGATCATTTTTACCTACTAAATTCAGCAGAGTGAGTATTTTTTGTATTAGGTTGGTGCA